AAATTAGAGCTGCTAGTAAAGACATTTTAGCACAGGTACTGGTTGGTACCATACCCAACAGTTAACGTTTACAGCTATTTGTAAGCGCAGCAGTGAGATCACCAATGCATGCTGTATGTTGCTTTATTTTTGAATTATGTCACTGCCCAGTTTTAGTCTACAGATTCTCTATCTGAGATCTATCCATTCTTTAGAGAAAATCTTTTCCTTTAGACTACACTCTGACACTGGAGAGTTGCCTTAGTGGCTGACCAGAAAACACAGAACCCAGGAAAAACATCCCGTTTTCTACACCCATCCACAATACCTGGTGGCAGTTACATTTGGACTTCCTGAAAATATAAGATAGTCTTAAATGATGTAGAGCTATACAGGTAAATGCTGAAAGTCACTTCTGACTGCCTTCTCCCAGCAGTTGAAGAGGAGTTGTGTATGGAGTTTTTTTCTGCATTACTCTGATCTTAAGGCATGTTCTGAAGGTCCAGTCACAAAGCCAGAATCATTCCAAGGCTTGTTGGCCAAGCTGAGGAGGCTGGTGCCTTTGAGAAGAAAGGATCAGCCAAGGTGGAAGAAGCAGAGATTCTGCAGATAACTTGATCACCTGAAATTGCTGCTTGTTTGTCGTGTGTTTACTCATTGATAGGAGAACTTTTATTCATCAGGAGTGAAGGGATAATTCTAACAGCTAAGCAGGGGCAGTTTGTAACTGAGGAATGAGCTGGCACTGAGTGTAAGAAGGCCCAACTGGAAGAAGGGGTTAAACTGGCTGGAAGCAGGAATGCCAGAGACTGACTTCTTGCGAGGGAGTGAGATTTCCCTGGGTGATTAAGAAACAGCCTCAGCTTTGTTTTGTAGCCATCCTGGAATGGGAACACTCTGGGTCCCAGACTCAAGTGCCACCTTTGGGCAGCAGAGCTGGGCTGGGGGATAGACCCACAGCAGGGCTGATGTGCCCCATGCTGACCCGCTTTGTTTCCAGGGAGGTGAGCGAGGTGGTGATTTCACACATTGGCTTAAACCAGTGCAAGCACAGAAGGTATGCTGCCAGAGATTAGCATGCAGAAATGGGAAGCTAGGGCAAGGAGTGAGATTGCTCTTTTGACAGCAGCATGGTCTTTAGTCTCCCAAGCTGGTCATGAAACTCCAGATGGCTCAAGAAGCGAGTGTATTGGTTGTCTTGCAGCATCTGGTTGAAACAGAAAGGAACTGAGGTCTTAGACATTCAGTCCCCTGTTCTGTCTTTACCAACTGACTTAGCAGTCTGTCTCCTTTCTGAAACAATATCCTAAAATGTAAGAAATGTTTTATTGAGTCCTTGCTTTATCTTATTGATGGGATCAAATCTTGTCTGCTGGCAGCAAAGGGCCAGGTGATCTTACCTTACAGAAGAAATACAATTTAATAAAAAATAAAGCTAGCTTTGCTTCTGTTCTTATTACCAGCTTCCTTGTACGTCTTTTCTCTCAACAGAAGGTATACTGTAGTAGAGCTTGAGTCACTGCTTACATTCTGGAGCTCTGTAACACAATGCTCAGTAGTTACTGATCTTTGTCAAAACCTGTGTCCTCAGTTTACCTGCCAAGTATCAATCTTGGGAACGAACAGTTACTCCACTAAAAATTTTATCTGGAATACTTCTATTATCCTAAAGACACTTTGCTTGCCAGTAATCTACAGTGGGTCTCTGCTGTAGCAAACCAAAGGCCGGGGGGGGGGGGGGTATCTTTTGTATTTAGCTTGCTGAACTCTGTGCTTTCCTTCTTGTTACAGTTCCTAAACACAAGCACCGTACCTTTGACAACTGTTGTTACCTTCACTGACATGACGGAATGGCCAGAACCTCCAAGAGGCCAGCCCCAAGTACACTGGAAACTCCCATTTGACATCTTTTTCCCATTTAAGGTGGCAGTGAATTTGGAAAGAAGTTACAGAGATGGTCTGGCTGGCTATTTTTTCTTGATTCTAATAATCTGTAGTATTCTCTGCTATTGAAAAGTTAAATAGCTGGGTCCTGTACTTAAAGTTTGGTAAGTGAATTTATACATTCAGAATATGATCTAGATCAGACTTTTCTCTTTGGATTCTTATGTTGTGCCTATAACATCTGTGTGCCTTCTGCTCTTGGATTAAGCTACGTGACTAGTTTCTGTCTTGTGTACTCTCACGCCCTATTCTCTGTATGCACCATCTGCAAATGTTACTGCAGTGAAACACTTGAGAGATGGAGGGATGGAGAGATGTTGCACTGATGAGGAACAAGGAGGAAGATGTTGAAATGAGTATTTCATGTTCTCAGAACACAAGAGTGCTTTCTGAAAAAAGGAATCTGAAGAGAGGAGTAAAGTTCAATGCAAGCATCTTGGCATTGCATTCGTTCATCCTCCTGTTGGAGAAGCATGTGATTCTTCTACATGGAACTAACCAAACATTTAGAATTCAGGAGTCCTCCCAAGCAGACTGAAGTATTATTTTATGGGTAGACATGTCTACTGGTGACCTTTTACCTGTCCTTGTTACATGACAACCACACCTCTCTGAGTTTTTTACTTACTGTTTTACCTTTTCAAATACAGATACCAAATTGAAATTTTTGCTTTAATCAGTGTTCACATTAGCAGTACTGTTACACAAACCATCTCTCTATGGGGTGGTCAGTTCGTTGTTATGCTGGAAATGAAGCGCAGTGAGTTTCCATTCTTGCTGTCATAGATTACAACCCCCCACCTCCCCCCAGCAAACAGAAACAGGGAGAATGAATTTCTGAAATTAAATATTCTGAGATCATTCTCCCCTTCTATAATGTAAAATGTACATAAAATGCAAAGAAAAGCTAAAGAAGTCATCTTAAAAATGTTTGTAAGCTCCTTAATGTGCTGCCACTTTCTTCAGGCACTATGTACATGATCCACTGTTACATTTGTTTGCCAAGTTATAGCCGCCGTTTTACCACCATAGGGTTTGTAGGAAAGGAGAGGTGCCTCACGAACCGTGCTTCCAACACCTGCGTTCCTCGTCTTCCCTGTGCCACCCTTATCTCCATGTGCCTTAAGGAAGTTACCACGAGAACACATAAACGCGATCCTGCTTCCTCACAAGATCACTTAAGAACCGACGGAGCACGGAGCGTGTCACCGCCTCACACCGGCGGCACCTCAGCACTCCTAGCGAGCGGTATTTTCCTCCAGCGCCGCTTTATGCCCACCGGGGGCTAAAGCCGAGTCCCACCAACACCCGTCCTGCGGCGAGGAGCCGGCACCGCCGCCCGGCACAGGGGGTCTGTCCTGACCCTCGGCTTCCCCACGGCCCCGAGCCGCGGCAGGAGGCGCGAGGAGCACGCACCGCCTGTAACGGGGAAGAAGGCGCCGTTAATGCTCGAGGAACCGCTCGAACCTCGCCCCCGCAAGGCGAGCACGGCAAACGGCGCCGGCGGGGCGCAGCGACCGTCCCTTCACGCGCCCTCACCCAGTAAGGAGCCGCCGCCGCGCGGGCCACGCGGGGCGCGAGGTGCCCCCCGCCGTGTGTCGCCCCCCGCTCGCGGCAGCGGCTCGGCCACGCGGTAAGCGATCTCCGGGCTCCGCCCAACACCGCCGCGGGGAAACCGGAGTCCCGCGCCTCCCGCTGCCGCCGCTGTCCGGGCCCGTCCGCAGCGCCCCGCTCGCCCGAGCACCCGCCCCCAGCCGGAACAGCACGGCCGCACGTGCGTCCCGTGGGGCGGGGCCGGAAGCGACACAGCGGGGGCCGTGGGCGCGGTTGGAGCGGCTGCGTCGGGCGGGTGAGTGCTGCCGCGGTGCTGGGCCGGGGTCGCGAGCTGTGAGGGGGGGGCCTGGTTGCGGCCCTGCCGCCGGCGGAGTTTGTGGCGGCGCCTGCGCTCGCTCGAGAGTCGCTGCCGTGAGTCGGTTCCCCGCCTGCGGCTGCAGGGTCAGGAGCGGGCTCCGTACTGCTTGCAGCAGAGGGATGGGGGCTTGCGGTGGGGGAAGCGAGCTACGCCGTAACCCCTGTGGGCAGTCGCTGCAGTGCTGCCTGCTGCGGGACGCTCCCTGCGCGCCTGGTCCTCGCCAGCTTCCCCGAGCCTCGTAGGCTTTGGTTCAGATCTTGACGGCCGCAGAGCTTTGCTGCTGAGTGGAGATAACTGGCAGGGTGGAGTTAGGGTGAGCACTAGACTAGGCTGCAAGCACTAGACTAGATAAGAGCTGTGTTGGCCTCATTATTCTTCGTGTTGCCCCTCTTGAGGTTTCCTTTTTCTTGCTCGTCTCCTGTGTCTACTCACAGGATTTCTCCATATCCAAAGAAAATATTCAAACCCTCCTGACACTTGCATGACACATAAAAGCGATTACCTGGGTTGTGATCTGACTCTTGGTGTTGATAAGCCGGTGTTGTTTGCTGTTTCCTCAGTGGAGATGTAACACGAGCAGATAAGAGGGTTTTTAAGAAACTTGATAGCTCCCTGAAAGAAGTAATAAAACTGTAGATAAAGGAGACTTAACGAGCAAAGCTTAGACAGTTTTCCAAAAGCCTGTGGCAAGTGTCTCTGAACTATGAAATCAAGAGGAGTTTTAATTTCTTAAATGAAAAATAACTAAAATGCTCACACAAATGCTTACGGCTGCGTTGACAGTGATGGATGCTTGGAAGTGTTTACCTTCTTTCTCTTCTCAAACTTGATGACACTGAGAGGCAACTTATTAAGTGTTAAAGTAATGGGTTTCTTTCTTCCCTGTGTTAAAATATTTATATTTAGCCATTTCAGAAAGTGCTACCTTTTTTGTTTTGATTTTTCGTTAAGTGCTGTTTTGTTTGCTGTACCACCTTCCCCTTCTAAACTGCTCTTTGCCGGAGTTGTTATAAGAAATGTATTCAGAGGCAGAGTGAGCACCTTTCAGTTTTGCCTCAGCAGTTTTTCAGCTGCTCTTGTTGCATGTTGTATTAGTAAGAATATGAATGCAATGCTTTCTTATGTTTTTCTGCAGCATCCAGGGAAGAAACCATCTTCCCTGAGTGAAGAAGAAGAGAGTCACTGTGGATGATATTCTGAAAAGTCAGTTCAAGGTGTAGTGAAAGCCAAAAAGCAAATAGAATGGCAGAAATTATCAGGTAAGGAATGAAGTGCAGATTAAAAGACTGTATCATGTAACTATATAAACCCTTGCTTTGTCCAAACTTGACTATTTTGTGCAGTTCTGGACTCTCCCTTGACTAGTATGCTGAACTCTGTTTAGGATAATTGGGGAGGTGGAGGAAGAGCAATGGAAATTATTGTACATATGAAATAGCCTTGATACAAGAACAAGAGCATCCTATACTGATTTAGTAACGGCAGTGCAGACTGTGGGTCTCTCTTGGTGGTGGCAGTACTCACGTGATTGTACAGACAGGTGGATCAGTTGGTCTATGACCAGAATATTACCATGATCACTGGCAATATAGATAAAAAGCCATTTTTTTTGAATGGGGGTGGGAACTGCAGCTTTGAGCAGGAGAGGTGCCAAAACTGGCACACTTCTGGTACTAGGACAACAGCAGAAGGAGGAATGAGAGGGTGAGTGCACTGTAAGTCTGTAAAATCGTGATTGGTGTGGAGAAGGTGAATAGCCCCAGAGCTACACAAAGCTGGAGACTAGGAGAGTACTCAGGTAGTTTTAAGTGCTTTCTTGTCCTGCTTGTGTACTTTGTCTGGGCATCTGACAGACTGCTCTTCTACTGTTGTGTTTTAATTTTCCTCATTAGGATTTGGGTGTTAGCTTAGCCTTTATAGAAACTAAATGCCATCTTTTTTCTCTCCAACCCCAAAAGAAGCACATTGTGAGGGCAGAGAACAAAAAAAAAGGAAAGGTAGATAAAGGCATATGGCTTAAAAATAAGGAACTGGAGGGACTGCTGAGCTGAGCATGCATGGTTCCCCTCAGGTTGAGATGCTGATGAATACTGCTTTGAGTGGTGCTCTTCTTGTGGAAATGATAGGACAGGGGCTTAGACATAAATCCTACAGCTGGTATTTTCTAGTTTTCCTTAGGAAGTTGTGGCTGGCTGACTTAACTGTTGCCAAAAGGCAGTTGTTGAAGGGGTTCCACAATAGGGATTTGGATATGGAGAGTATGAATAGAAAGAAAATTAGGCTGAAAAAGTGCACCTAAAATTTCTGTAAGAGGTTCTGGAAGAAAGGCTGGGGTACTAAATGTAGTAGTCAGTCCTTCTCCTGAAACATTAAACAAAAGTGCTGACTTCAGTCTACCTTTTTCAGAATTTTCATTCTATCCTTGCATGTCCCTTTCTACAGTTTCTCCTGGATACGAACATGTGTCCAAGTACCTGATTTGCATCTTGTTGCTTAGTGTCATTATTGTCACTCTACTAACCATAGCTATTAGAAATGATTATTCAGTCTTGACTGCTTTTCCTGAATGACCTTTGGCCCTTGTACAGTTTTCATTTGGGGGCTGTAGGAAAACTGGAGCAGAACTGGGGTACCAGTTCTGTGATCTTTATCCTTAACAGCTGGTGGAACTGGATGTTTTGCTGCTCAGTGCTGAAAACAGGTGGTAGAAGAAAGTAGGCAGATTTGATCAATGCAAGAGTATAGAGAGGTGATGTTAGGAGTAAGGAAATGCTTGAAAGATGCTAAGTAACCCTATCTTGAGGTTTCCTAGTGAGGATTAGTGCTTGTTTAAACGAATCTGTGTCCCTGTGTTCCTCACTTAGTAATCTTGACTAAAGCAGCTACTCTGTGTGCTTTTTATTTTTTTTGTTTTAATTAGGTGTGTGGGGGGAAATCTTTGCACAGAGATAACCTGTGTTTGTTGCAGTTGTGTCTAGGACTGAAGGTGGACTGTAGCATGTCTGCCTGCACAAACTGTTAATGCCATCAGGATGGTCCCATGCTTCTTGAAGATGGAACTCTCTTTAAGATTACTCAAGGTGTTCACTACTGTTAACCATCTGAAACCATAGTTTTCCATTGCTCACTTCCTACTATACTTGCTGTACACCGGGGTAAATAACTGATGACCAGGTAGGAACTCTAGGATCCCTTACCACTAACAAGCATCCTTCCATAAAACTACTAGTTTCGTGTGACAAAAGAGACTACCAATTTAGTTTCTGTTCATTTTCTCTTACCAATTCTTCTTCTGTTTCAGTGTCTGAAAAAAAGAAAAGCAGCTCCTCAGCATCTGCAGGGATAGAGGAGAACCTGTTGCTTTTTATTTGGAAGTACATTCAAAGAAGTTGCATGTGCTAAAAATTGGCCAGGTGAGCCTAAAATGAGGGCAGTACTGTTTCTTGTTATCTGTGACAAAAAAAAAAAAAAGCCCAAAAAACAATGAAGGCTTGGCTTAATGTAAAAAATCAGCTGCTGTGATTGTGAGTGACCAACATGCTGGTGTTGGAGTTGTCTTTATTCTGCAGTTATATACACTGGGTTTATCTTTGCTAATAATTGGAGTGGGAGGAGGGGAGAGCAGGGTTTATGTGCACTATGATAATGAAAACAAAATCCACTTCTAGCAAGTGGAAATCTCTAGACAGTCTTTTAACAAAGTGATGACCTTATATTTATTTTGGGTGGCTGTTTTGGGGGTGTTGTTTTGTTTTCCCTTGTGTGGAGATAGTGATAATTGTGAGTTGGGTCTTCTGTTAATTCTTGAGACTCTTGAGGTTTTTGCAAGTGTCTTGAACTCTACCCCCAGCACATGCATATTGTTCACTTTTCATGAGGCTTCCACGGTTGAGAACTGCTCAGGGAAAAGGACCTGGGGATGTGGATTGATGAAGCTGAGCATGAGCCGTCTTTTTTCCTGGTAGTCAAGAAGGCCAATGACATCCTGGCTTGTGTGAGAAATAGTGTGGCCAGCAGGACCAGGGCAGTGATCACACCCTGGTACTGGGCAGTGGTGAGGCTGCACCTCGAATCCTGTGTTCAGTTCTGGGCCCCTCACTACAAGAGAGACCTTGAGGTGCTGAAGCAGGTCCAGAGAGGGACAGCAAAGCTGGTCCAGGGCCTGGAGCGCAAGTGTGATGAGAAAAGGCTGAGTGACCTGTGGGGGTTTAGTGTGAAGAAGAGAAGGCTCAGGGCACACCTTATTACTCTCTACAACTATATATGACAGAAGGATGGAGGGAGGTGTGGGTCCCTCTTCTCCCGAGTAACAAGTGGTAGGCCAAGAGGAAATAGCCTGAAGCTGTGTCGACAAGGTTGAGACTGGATATTAGGAAAACTGTCTTTACTGAAAGGGGGATCAGGTATTGGAGCAGGCTGCCCAGGACAGTGGAGGAGTCACCTCTCTCACCATACCCACAGCGGTGGAGGGGTTTAAAAGACATGCAGATGCAGCACTTCAGGACATGGTTTAGTGGTGGATTTGGTAGTGAGAGGCTTACGGTTGGACCTAATAATCTTAAATGTCTTTTTCCAACCTAAATGTTTAATTATTCTCTTAATTTAAAAATTAATGTAAAAGAGATATGGGAGATAAGCGAAGGGCAAAGCCAGCACTCTTGGCCCTTGTGGAGGGATTTGGGCTGCAGAGAAAACAAAGGAGATAAAGGGTTTGAGGAAGCGAAGCTACTCTTAAAAGTTTTGCTGCAGATTGCTTTCATCTACTGTCTGCAGCACAGGGAGAATCCAGGTCAAGGGAAGCTGGATGTGGGAGATGGCTAGGCAGCCTGAGCTGTGGGAAGGGCTGTCTGGACTAGTCTGAGGCTAGACAGAAAACAGTTGTTAATGCTGTAACTGGTAAAGCCCTGGATTTTGTGCTGCAACGTGGAGTAGAATTACATCATCCGCTGGGACAGCAGGCAGGAAGGTGTGCGTGCTGGTGGGAGGTATGAGGCTGGAGGCGCTGGGGTGACGTCAGCCAGTGGCTGGTTTTCAGGCTGTGCTTGCAGCGCTGATGTGGCATCTGCCGGGAGAGGCTGGGGCTGGCGCGGCCACCTCTGCTTCCCGTGCTCCCTGCAGGTGCTGCTTCTCCTGGACACCCGTGTTGCAGCTTCAGCAAGTGGGGTCAGGTACGGGAATTCTGCTGGATCTACCTGCTTGGCCAAGGCGTGATGCCTGCAGGTGTCACTGATACGTGTGCAAGAAGTAGTTTGTCTGCCATTGCTTTTCATTAAGCTGAGCTTCCTGTCTGTGCTCAAGTGGGTGCTGCTGTCTCCTAGTGTGAATTGTGCCCTTCCTCAGCTCACCCTTTCCAGGGCAGGAGGTCCTGGTGCTCTCTCTAGTGCTGCTGTTGTACACCCTGCTGGTGCTGCTTATCTTACACACAAGGTATAACAGAATGGAGCGATACTGAGCTTCTGCAGATGCTCTCTATTGAGATACTAGATTGAAAGGGATACTTGGAACCATTCTAACTGGCCAGTGACAGGGTTTTATTCTGCTGCACAAGGCAATGCTAAGAATTGCGGACTGCCATGACCACACTGTCCTGCTGCTTCTTGCTAGAAAGGAATGGTGTAGTGCATGTTGCTTTGAATTCCCTGTTCTCTGTGTGTGTAACTTGTACAGAACCTGGGCAAAGCTATGTGCGAACTGTTCGGAAGACAGTTTATTTGAAGCTTTTCTTTATTTTAGTAAGTTCTTCTGAACTGGCTTCCCAGTGGGAAGGTTTCTGAGTTTGGACCAAGAACTGCAGATTTAAATTTTCCCACAAAAGTTTTAATTGCTAACATAGCTGTTTAAATAAAAAGAAAAAACAACCCAAAACCAGGCAAAACCTCGATTTATCTCTGTGTAACTTTCTATAGGATTTTGGTTTCCTTGTATATAAAACTGAAAAATGTATGTTCAGTTTTATTAACTCGCCGTAAATAGTTTTGAACATCCCATGGGCCTGCAGCCAACAGACTAAAAAATCTGTGTTACAGATTGTTGCTGTTAAAGGCATCAGTTTCAGGGTTTAGAGCTCTGATGCTTGGGAAGGTGACAGAGTCACCTAACACTGATTTTTGAACTGAATGTTAGTATACTGTGTTACTTTAACAGCCGTTCTGAAGATCATAAATTAATGAAAACTAACCAATGGTATTTCTTTCTATAAGCGATAATGTAAGGATAACTTTCATGAAAGAGATGATAGTAGAATTATATTTTTAAAAATCAGGTTTGGAGACTGGTTTGGAGGGAGTGGGTTTTCCTCTGATAATGAAAAAAATAGATTTTTAAGTTGATACTAGTCTTGGAGAAATACCTGAATAATGCATGTTGTGTTTCATGTTATTGCTCCCTGCCCTCCAAGTAAGGCAGAAGAGTTTAATTTTTGTTGTGTTTGGGTTTTTTTCCCTAAATTATGTGCCATTTTTTGGTTTGTTACTGTAGACCAGAACCATCCCAGGCATGGAAATTGTGGAAATGGGAGTAGAATGGAAAATGATGACTGAAATTAACTTTAAATCCTTTATTGAGTGAGAGGAGAGAAGGGAGTTTTTCTGCAGCCTCGTGCTAGCCTGAAAAACAGTTTGTAACAGTGTGTCGTTCTCTGTGCTCTCTGGCAACATCATTCCCATTTCACGTATCTCCTTTTCTTGGTATCTGCTGCTGCTTTAAAATTTTTGGTTTTATCTTCTTGTTAAGTTAGTATTTTTGCCTTTTCTCACATGCTAGTTTCAAAAATGTGCTAGCACTATTTCTTATTTCTTCCTATTTTTCTTCCTTCGAAAGGTTTGCACTGTCTACCACTTCTCTCTCACTCCTCATTGTCTGCTTATTAGCAAGGTTGTCTCTGGCATAGGGAAATGAGGGGCAGTCTTCCAAAAGACAAGGTTGCTCTTAGTTGCCAGCAGCCCAGTAGTCAGAATGTGAGGTGGTCCTCTGGCACATCAGTACAAGCAACCGAGGAGACAGCACAGTTTGGGCTGGCTAGTATGGGTCTGTATTTTACTGACTGCAACACCAGGTGATTATTACTGCAGTGGGAGTTGAAGGCCTGTCAGGAAAGGCTGTAACAGGAACTGGGGTTGAAACTTCAAGCAGAGTGCCTGGTTCTGTTCCCTAAGGCAGATGGTCTGTGAAAGGAGCTGCCAGAAGAACAGGCAGTTCTACTTAGGGTAACTGTGGTCGAAGGGTTCTGGATAAAGGACCTGCTGTTAGCCAGGAGCTGCTGAACTCCGAGCATCCCTCTGAGTCACAGCTAAGGCCCTACCTACTGGAAAGATGATGGGTGACAGTAGATGCCAGAGTGAACTTCAAGGTGGAAGGGTCAAACAGCTAGACACATGAACAGTGGGAATTGTTGTGCCTCCCAGAGGCAGGTGCATGAGGTGCCTGGGAGAGGTTCAAAGAGGGCACATCTGGTTGTTACTGTTAACAAGCTCCTTTAAGCTTGCCCTGTTACAAGAACTTGAACTGCTTGCTCAGTTGTATCATCTGCTTCAAGTCCTTTGTCTGCCTCATCCTGGCAGTGGTCAATACTGCATTTCAGATGAAATGCAGAACTGGAGGGACATTGCAGATTAATATCGTTAAAACATTTAATGTTTACTAGACAAAACAGGAGAATGTTACCTGCTGACAGCTGCCTTATGTGGAGGTGTATATTTTGGTAAGGATTATAGTGAGGTATAATAACAATACACTGATGCAGGGTAATGAAGCAACTTTAAGTGTTCATGTGCACATATGCTGAACTGCCAGGTGCTGTAATTTTCATGGTATTTGTAATAGCAGTCTTCCAGTGCAGTTATTATGAGCTTTCCTTCTCTCTTCAATACCTTCTCCTTACCACAGCTTGTGCAATGCTGTTTGCTCTCTTCCAATAGTGCTGAGGGATAGAAAGCAAGTAAAGGAAGCCAAATTTTGTAAAAGGGGGAGGAGAGGTTTCATGGCTTAAGCACTGTCAGAGAGAACTGGGTTCTTGTTAATCTCCTTTCTTTCCTTTGTGATACTGGATGCATTACTTCAACTAGACCTGTCACAGGAAATTGCTGATTGTGTATCCCTTGTTTGCTGAGTACTTGCTCTAGTGGACTTTTTGTTACAAGAATTCTGAGTGTTTACAAGTTCAGCCAAGAGAAACTAATGCCAAATACCTTGGAAATTGGTGTCCTTATTTGTAATCATGGTTAACATCTTGTCATTTGGTAGTGCTCAGGTAAAAGGGAATCAGCCTATCTTCTATATTGAATAGGTCTGAGATTCATATGAAGTATAATAGATGCTCTGTTGTGAGGTGTTCAGAGAAGTCTGGCTGCTACAACCTTCTCAGTATCTTTTTTCTTTTTTCTTTTTTTCCCTCTTTCTTCTTCCAGGTTTCTCTGTGGACAGAGTTACCACTTTTCTCCATTGTCGGTATGCTCACTAATGCTCTTTTCCCTTCTTGGAGAACTATATTTTGTTCTTGATCTTTAATAATGGTCTTCTGCCAGCATGTAGGGAGGGAATAGGGGCCTTTGATTCTTCTAAGTCACAGCCTGAGGATTCTGCAAAATGGAGAGTGTGGGCTGTCTGTCTCTTGCACAGGGAAATTTCATTAAGACTGCAAAGGACAAAGAAGAGTTGGGGGGAGGGTGTAGAGAGAAATATAGATGGAAAGTCACTGATGTTTAACCAGTTTTTCCCCCCTCCTCCCTTACTTTAACTTACAGATATCCTTGGCTTGCAGAAGGCATCTCAAAATGTTGTGTCGAGCTGCTCTGAGCCCCCTTGTCCGCTCCCCTGGATGGTGCTTTGTGTTATCGCCACATGCCATTGCAGCCATTTCACGTTTATGTATGTATGAGAGAAAGCACACGTTTCTAATAATGCTGGTCAGTATGTGTCTGGGCATGCCTGTACTCTTTCCTGTGTTAAGGAAAATCACCTCATTAACATCATTCAAAGGACAGATTTATGCAGGATAGAACCAGGTTAGCAGCTAATACTTTAGTGGAGAGGAAGGAAATTCTCTGCTTGTTCTAGAACCATTTTCTTTCTCAGAAAAAAAAAATAAAAACAGAGTAGTTTCTTGGTTTCTCTTCAGACAGTGGTTACCCCTCAAAAGCTGTCTTCTAAATCCCAAAGCTCTAGGCAAGAGAATTGGAAATGAATTGTTTGTACTGCTTTCTGGTCATATTGTATGAGGATAGGCAACTGCTATATGGTTATGTATAATGCTGGAAAGAACAGTTAAATTGGATTCCTTTACCCATTCTTTCATATGTGTTGTAGGCCTTATTTGCATTCTCAAATAGTACCTCATAAAAAAGAGGGGTAGGTAAAACTCCTCTCTAGACGATTCCATTTTCTACTTTTATGTGTGTGCCATGTTAGTGCAGCCCTCAGTTACAGTTAATCATTTCAGCTGCTTCTGCATTTAGAACAAAATATTTACTTAAAACATTAATAAATTACTGATTTCTCTTTTCTATTGCACTGTGTTCATTTCTATCTTTCTCCAGCAGAAATAACACCCAGAATAGTCACTTTAAATTGTAAAGTAATCTATTTGTATTATAGAGCATCAAAATCAGAGAGACTGAACAGATTAAATAAAGTCACATAATCTGACCATGTTTATTGATTTGTAAAGAAGCCTCTGCATCTTCAGATGAAATATTGTTTAGGATTGAACAGTTCAGTTGGAAGGGACCTGCAGTGATCACCTAGTCCAACTGCCTGACCATGTTGACCATGCCTGATGATTGCATTGTGCTTTAAATGCCTTTCAGTAGTATCCGGTGTGATCTTCTCATCTTCTCTGTAATTTTTTCATGAATGTCTGACATGATTTTTAACTAAGTTGCACTTTTGATCCCAGAATTTGATGCCAGTAGCCTTTTTTTCTCTTTTTTTTTTTTTTTGCTTTTTGTGGTTTTTTTTTTTTTTGTTTGTTTTTTGTTTTTTGTTGTTGGTTGTTTTTGTTTTTGTTGTTTTTTTTTGTCGGGGCATTTTTGAGACTGTCCAAAGTTGACCTGGTTTAATGCAGTTTCTGAATAGCAATACAAGAAGATATTCAATAAGGAAATGTAGTTTAAATTTTTTTCAAGTAGTATGGCTTATCTGTATTATGTTAATTATCCAGCTGACATGCTTGGACTGCAGGTATAGAATTACAGAATAGTTAGGGATGGAAAGGACCTTAAGATCATCTAGTTCCAATCATCCTGCCATGGACAGGGATGCCTCACGCTATTCATATATTATGTGCATGACTCCTTCTTCAGACACAAATCACTGTGGCTCTGCAGAGCTTCATATGTGAGGTATGTTGGAAGTGTTTTCCATCTGCCTTCATTTCTTCAGCTTAACTTTGAGACTCTATGTGTTTGGGTCCACCTCTTTGTCAGTTAGAAAGGATCCAGACCCTTCCTTGTGATCGTACCGTAATAGTGCTGTGGTTTGACCCCAGTCAGCAACTAAGTACCACACAGCCAGTGGGATGGGGAAGAGAATTGAAAAAAATTAAAACTCATGGTTTGAGATAAGAACAGTTTAGTAATGGAAATAAATTAAAATATAATAATAATAGGAAAAAGAAAAAGAGGAGTAAAACTCAAGAACACTAGTGATGCACAGTACAATTGCTCACCACGCACTGACTGATGCCCATCCCATCCCCAAGCAGTGATAATCCCCTTCCAGCTAACCCCCCAGTTTATATACTGGGCATGATGTTCTATGGTATGCAATACCCCTTTGGCTAGTTTGGGCCAGGTGTCCTGTCTCTGCTCCTTCCTAGCTTCTTGTGCAGCTCCTCATTGGCAGAGCATTGAGAGACTGAAAAGTCCTTGATTCAGGGTAAGCACTACTGAGCAACAACTAAACCATTGGTGTGTTAGCAACATTATTCTCATACTAAGTCCCGAATATGGCACTGTACCAACTACTAAGAAAAAATTAACTGTCCCAGCCGAAACCAGGACAAATCTTCACTATTCTCTTTAATCTGCTGTACTGATAGTGGTCTTGCTGTCCTTTGCAGGCATTTTGAAAACAGATTTTTGTGGAGAAATGATCCCTAGCTCACTGACTTGGGTGAAGTGCCAGGCTCATGAATCTTAACTGAGTAACACTGACTGTCTCTTCTGTCTCCAATGCTTATTTATCCTGTGTGAATGTGACTTCCAGTTCATATGTCCGTTATCCTCCTTCTGCTGCCCCTAGTTAAGCAACATGCAAAACCACCTGACTTAGAGTTGTTGTAAAAGCTGTGTTTCTTTTCTTTCCTAACAGTCAAGCTTTCAGCGCTGCTGTAGGCAGGAAAGCTCTCTAGCTGTATCTAATAAGACAAGGAAGGGAAAATGTTTTTAAAACTAGTACTTTTACTTCCAATGTGAACTGTTTGGGCTCTTTTACAGCATCCCTCAGTTTGGGCTCCTACTTTTGCAGAGTCAAAGCTCTGTGACACATGGGGTATTGCCTTATATACTTTAAGGATGGTTAGTGCTGCTCAGATATTATTCTCTCTTTTTGTGACTTGAAAGTTAGCTTTTCGTTCCCAGTCACTGAGAAGTGTATATTGTGAGCTGTAGCCTTGGAAAGGGAGGAAACGTTACATGACTTCAAGGCCTTAAAGTCTGAATGAAACAAAACTGCATTTTTTTTCTTCCTTTTTTTTTAACCACAGATCTCCCTCGCCATAACCAAAGATTAAGGAATGAATCCATCCGTTGTTGGAGCAGCATCCCATTTATCACTATGCCACTCAGCCGTGCACATGGAAAATCATTTGCGCACCGTAGTGAGCTGAAGCATGCAAAGCGGATTGTAGTGAAGTTGGGTAGTGCTGTTGTGACTCGAGGGGATGAGTGTGGCTTGGCGCTTGGGAGGCTGGCATCTATTGTAGAGCAGGTAATTCTGGGACTGAAGTGGAATGTTTTAACTTCAGATACTTGTTGATTGTTGGATGGCACAGAAGACTGTAGGGTAAAACTCTTAAAACAGTGGTGGCCCATTAAAGCAGTATGTTGGCCTTTTGCTTTTTCATCCCTTGTGCTGTGGTAGCGGATAAACCATGTAACTCAGTAAATAAGTGTCTGAAGGTGTGGTGGGTTGACCCCGACCGGTTGCTAAGCACCCAAATCCTTATTCACTTCCCAAGGGGAAAAGAAACAAGGATACTAAGGCAATCACTCACTAGCTTTCACAAGCAGACATGTACTCAACTAGTGCCCAGGTGACTGCCACCTTGAAAGACAGTCCCTGCCCTTTCCTATTCTGCTATGCCAGTTCCCTAACTGAGCATGACATTATATGCTGTGGAATGTCCCTTGGGCCAATTCATGTCAGCTGTCCATAATGTGTCCTCTCCAAACTTCTTGCCCAGCCCCTAGCCTACCTACTGTGATGGGACATGGTGGAAAAGGAAAGCCTTGATGCTGTGAAAGTATTTTTCAGCATGGGAAAAAGAGAAGTCTTTTAATGCTGTGCAAGGCAAAACATCGGAATGTTATTAACATTGTTTTGGTCTTGAAATCCGAAACACAGTGCAATGCGGGCCCCTCTGAAGGAGGTTAACTCTGTCTTGGCCAGACCCAGTATAGAGAGAGAGAGATTTGCAAAGTGAGATTTTTATGTAGTAGGTAAGACATGACTGGGACATTAGTTGGATCTAGTAGGAAAGCTGCACTGAAGTTTGTGATGTCTGCAGAAAAAGTAGATCCTTCCTGATTACCTGAGCGCTTGCAGATTTTGTCCAGGAGAGAGCCTGAAACCTCATTACTTGTAGAAACAACTGGGGATTAACTCATGGATTGAGTCTCTAAAATGAAATTATGACTCTGGGAGGGGAAATTGAACATGTCTTCTCTGGGAAGTAAAGTTAATGGAATACTTTAAATTAATGTAAGACATTTAGCTTTAGAACTTTGAAAGGAATCTGGCCAGATGCATGTGAGGAAGAAGCAGTTAAAAGCTGTACTGAGTTAGCTTCTTCACTTGTAGTGTCCAAAGTTACTGTATAATGGCAGGTTTGGGAATGGATTGTGAATAAGAAGGTTGATGGAAGGGACAGCTTCTACTTTACATCTTTTTCATCCTATCATTCCTTATCTGTAGCAATGGAAGAGGAGGGTGAGGGGCATGGAAGTCTTACCATGTAATAGGTATTCTGAAAATTTAAGCATAATTTTGACATAAAACCTGGTGTTGTGGAAAGAAAGTTTAGCAGAAGCTATAGACTGCATGCAGTCCTTTGCATAGCTCCTAAGGGGTTGGGAAGGTGTGCAGGAGTATCTTAGAGGGTGGTTGCCTTGCTTTGCACATGGATAAAGAGAAACACTTGTGTTAGCAAGAACTGGTGAACCTAAGGTTTATCTATAAATAGCCAGAGCTGTCATGCTTGCAGTGATCATACTCCTGTTTCTTATATACTGTGCTTACAGGTGTCTGTGCTGCAAAATCAGGGCCGGGAGATGATGATTGTCACCAGTGGTGCTGTAGCCTTTGGGAAGCAGCGATTGCGTCATGAGATCTTGCTTTCTCAGAGTGTGAGGCAAGCGCTTCATTCAGGCCAGAGTCAGCTGAAAGATATGGTGAGTGGCTAGCAGCATTCCTGTTTTCCCTTGAATGTTGGGTAGTACCTGCTCAAGGCACTGCCTGACAGCTCTTCATCTCTGTAGGCTATTCCAGTCTTGGAGGCCCGAGCCTGTGCAGCAGCTGGCCAGAGTGGATTGATGGCTCTGTATGAGGCCATGTTTACTCAGTACAGCATCTGCGCAGCTCAGGTAAGGGATTACTGCTTTTCTAGACTGACTTGCTACTTCAGTCAGCTATGGAATTGTTGTTGCATTTTTTCTATGTTTTATATGCTGCTATACTTAGAATCATAGAATAGTTAGGGTTGGAAAGGACCTTAAGATCATCTAGTTCCAACCACCTTGCCATGGGCAAGGACACCACACACTGAACTATGTCACCCAAGACTCCGTCCAACCTGGCCTTGAACACTGCCAGGACCTTAAGGTCGATTCCAACACAAACCATTCTATTTCTATTGCCATCCTACTTTGGGGGCTTATTATAGTGTAGACGGTAGCTTATACAGGAGTGCCCTGCTAAGTATTTCTGAAATGGAGTTAGCTGTCATGAAGGTGAAGCAAATATGCTTTTTCTTTTTGGTGTTCATGTGTGTCTTGCACTTATGTATGGTGGGGGAGTGCCTGTTAAGATCTCGTAGCAAAAGCTGTAGTTGGTGATCCAAAGTGAGTGCTTAAAAATCACAAGTGGCCGAACTGCTGTCATGCGTTCTGTAATGCTGACAGAAGTGCATATCCACACTTCGGAACTTCCAGTCTATCTTCTCCTCAATCCTTTCTAACTTGTGGGTGATGCTATTCCTAGCCTGGGTCTTCTACCAATACCAAATGCTGCAACTGTGTTTAATACTCGTAAACAAGCTTTGTTTATCTTAAATACTGTGAGAATACAGAATTGCATCAACTGTAAGGCCTTATTTATTTAAACACTTTTAATAAATTTAGGTACTTAAAGTGTGAAGTCTTGCCGGGAGACTGTCTGACTAACATCACTAAAATGTTTACAGTATATCTAACAATCACTGTAAGTTGCACTGGATTTTACTCTTGTTGAAGTCTGTAGACAACTGTCATTCCTTTGATTTAAAAGAATTGATTGGCCATGCCAGAAAAGTAAGTGTACACTTTGATTCCAAGTGCTATCGTAACATTTTTGTCGTGGTTGTGTTTGCTTAGTTCTCAAATAGCCAATGGCAGCGTAAAAAATGAAAAAAAAAAAAAAAAACAACAAAAGTCTCTTCAGACATTGAGGGTTTTTTCCTTAGAATACTAAAAGGAAAGGGGTGGAGTCTGCATGCAGGAGGCTTTAACACCAAGATTCTTTCAGAAAAGTGAGTTCTAGAGCTGAAGAAGTCTTGAGACAAAGCATCTCTCCTGCTTGTAACAGTAGAAACATTACAGTGTGAGGGAGAGCAGGAAAGGCAGTGTATTAAGTAAGCAGTTGAATTGTTTTAGGTCTTAGTAATTATCATCAGCATCTATGTTCTGCTTATGTTGTTGTTTTTTTTTGTCCAGTTGATTCTTGGAGCCTGTGATCTGTCAGCCTAAGAAAGGCTATTGTAGGTTCCAGTGGAAGTTCAGGCACATAAACCTGAAAATGTTGTGGGGAGAATATTTCTTAATTGTATTCTTTATCCTGTGTTTCTTCAGTGACCTGAAAGGCACCACTGATCTGTTACGGCATGTTAATACATACACTCAGGATGTTCTCAGGGAAAGTGGTAGGCTAAGTAATGTTAATTTTTTTCCTTCTTGTAGATTTTAGTCACCAACCTGGATTTCCATGATGAACAGAAGCGTCGGAACTTAAATGGAACATTGCATGAGCTTTTAAGAATGAATATCGTCCCTATAATTAACACTAATGATGCTGTTGTTCCTCCTCCAGAGCCAAACAGTGATCTGCAGGGGGTAAATGTGGGTAAAGTATTGCAAAGGGGTGGATTCTGCTGGTACAGCATTAATCTGTACTTAACTAATGCCGTAATCAGGGACCTCTGAAGCCTGCAGATGGGAAACAAACATATAAAATTAGTAGTGTGGATGGAGGGTACTGGAAGACTATGCTGACCTGCCTATTTATGGCATGGTATAGTGTTGTGGGGGAAAAGCAGGGCAGGTGATGTCTGCTCTGCAAAAGCAAGCATGTCTGGTTTGGTTTTCACTGAAGAGCTGAAGCTGGGACTTCTGCAGGTCATCTAGTCCAGGACCCCTGCTTAAAAGCAGGGTCAGTTAGTACCTCTTGCCCTGTCACTGGGCACCAAGGTGAAGAACGCAGGTATTGGTCACACTGCTAGTCATTTTGACACCACTGTACTGCATTCCAAAAGTATATCTACTTTAACACAGAGATCACCTTTTAAGTTTCTGGTGGGTGTGAACAAAGAAGCTCAGAAGGACCCGATAGTGCTGAGGTAGCTTGCTTTTCTATGCCTCAGCCAAGTATTTCCTAGTTCCTCCCACTATTCAGTAGTGCTGATATGCATGTGCATTGCAGGTGATAAGTGTGAAGGATAATGACAGTCTGGCAGCACGACTGGCTGTGGAAATGAAGACTGATCTCCTGATTGTTCTCTCAGATGTAGAAGGTTTGTGAGTAATTTCTTTAACTGGGGTTTACTGATCTCTTCAGCTCGTATATTTTACAGGGACAATTACAACTTGCCACATAACTCCTTAAGAGATATATTCAGTGTTGATACTGTTACATAAGTTAAAGACTGTCTGTCAGAATGCATGTGAACTTGGACTTGTTCCAGAACCCAGAATGCCATATGTGCTATGGTACTTCTGCTAGCTTCTCAGAATTGTATAATGCAGTCATGATTTATACGTATGTGTTTAGAATCAGAAATATAAGCCAAATACTGTTCTACAATAGTTTGTTTCTCCTGGCAGCAGGTTCTTTCTTTCAGTGAATTACAGGTACATTACAAGTCCTGCTTATTGCCTGCCAGATACCTGGAACTTGCTAGCTTTTCCTGACTCCCAGGCATTTTGCTTACACTGCCCTAGTCTTCTGAGCTGTGCTGCTGTGACATAAGTCTGTCACCTATGGATGTTAAAGGTCCTTTTCTAGAGAGAGAAAAGGGTAGTGAGTGCAGTTTCAGATCAGTGCAGTCCACATCATGCAACTCACATAGTCTTTTTCATCTTCTCCAGGTTTCTTTCAGTGGATCCTGAAAGAATCCTGGACTTTAGCACATACTGTAAGCCCTGAGGAGGAAGGAGATATGGATTTCATAGTTGATTCTAGTTGAAATTACTGAGAACGACTTATAAAAGCAATAGTAAAAACAACTTGTAAAAAAATTAACCCCCAACACCACCATCCCCTAATCTTATTCATTCAGTTGTGACGTCTTGTTTATGGAAAGATAAATGTTCTCTCCTCTGCCAGCTAGGGGGACACAGATAGTCTGCACATGTGCTTTCTAATTTGTAATGACAGTATTTGTTCACATAGAATTTCTGGGAAGTGTGGTGTTTAGGTTTAACGTGTAACAAGTTCAGGTTTAACAAGACCAGGTTGGACGAAGCCTTGGGTGATATGGTTTAGTGTGAGGTGTCCCTGCCCATGGCAGGGGGGTTGGAACTAGATGATCTTAAGGTCCTTTCCAACCCTAATGATTCTGTGATTCTATGATTCTGTGATTCTATGATTCTGTGATTCTATGCTATGTAAACCAAAGTGTCAGTCAACAACATAGTTGTTTTTTTTTTTTTAAATTAGTATGCCTCTAGTGTGGTGTTCCTTCTTAGCAGAATTTGATAGTTACCCTTTTTATCTATTTCTAAATTGCCCAGTTTATCGCTGTTCAACCCAGCAATCAAGAATGTCAGCTGAGATTTTGGTGAGGAGGACTGTCCTTTGCCTGTTTAGTTATGGGCATGTATATGTAAGCCTACATACGTATTTTTATATTGAACATATAAAAAAGTCTTTGTAACCTCAACCAAATGTCACTACCTCCCAGCCTGGATGCCGCCATTCAGCATGGCGGCTTTCAGTTTCTTACTCGTTATGCTTTTGGTGTAGTTCTTGAACATTGAGTTCCACGAAAAGCAGGGTTCAGTCAGAGTTTGCTGTCCTGTGAAGTGGAATACAGCTTTTCAGCCTCAGGGATTATTACTATTTTTTTTCTTTCTTTTTCCATGGTGAGCTTTGGAGATGAGGGTATATAACGCTAACAGATATTTATTATTGATTTCAGGACTCTTTGACAGCCCTCCAGGATCTGATGATGCAAAGCTAATTGACATATTCTACCCAGGAGATCAGCAATCTGTGACATTTGGAACTAAATCTCGAGTAGGAATGGGAGGCATGGAAGCCAAGGTAGAAATATAGAACATTTGTTTTGTAATTGGGAAGGAAAAGCAGATTTGGGAATGGGAGATAGGTACAAAGATTGTGCTGCCATTCAGATGAATCTTGACAGGCTGCAGAAATGGGCAGAATAACTTCATAGAGTTCAGTAATGGGACATGCCAAGTCCTGTGCCTAGGGAGGAACAGCTCCATTCAGGGATAAGAGCTGGGGAGCTGACTGGCTGGAAAGCAGGGATGCAGGGGTCTTGGTTTGGTTGCATTAGAAAGAACATAGTCATCATTGAGGGAAATTAGTATTTCCCTCTATCAGAATTAGTGAGACCACATGTGTAGAGCAGTGTCTAGTTCTGGACACCGTAGCACAAGGAGGACATAGCATATGACAGTGAATCCAGCAGAGAGCCGTAAATCAATAAATATGATTACAGAATTGCAGCATCTAACACACCTGGAGAGGCTGAGATCCTACTGAATGAAATTACTATTCCAACAGTAGCTGTACTCCCAAGCAAAAAGTAGAAGCAAAGAAATAAAAAAACTGATTAGAAGATGAACAGGAAATTGAACAGAGTAGGTGAAAACATTGTGTGGAAACCTGAGCTTCTTCAACAAACTTATTAACTTCACCAGAGGGTTATAAACAATGAGAATATATCTACATCTTAACCAGAACCACAAGGAGTGCTTAGCTGCTCAAACTTTAAGGGAGTAATTTGAACAGCTAAAGGTATTGAATAATATTTTAGTGGTATATGGTAGTGGCTAGGCCTGGAGCAAGAACAGTCCTCTGCATTGCAAGTAGTGTTCTGCGATCTTTTAAAGTGATTAATTATCAGTGGCTGATCCATATCAGAGAAATTGGCAACAGAATCTTAAAAAACAAACAAACAAAACCACAAAAAACAAAAACCAAAGAAAAAACAAAGAAAGAAAAATTGGTTTCTTCAAACAGTAAGAACTTGAAACAGAAGGTAATGGTGAAAAATAACATATGATCATAATGCCTTTGCAGAAGTCTTGACAAAAGCAGGCTGCTAGGAAAATTTAAAGTATGCTCATAAGGGGGCAGCTAGTTAAGGAAAGGAAGGTAAGGCACAAATACGTGATCTCATTCAATGCTACATCATTATAGAAATCCTGGAATTGTGTTGAATGTTCTTTGAATTTGGACATCAAAGTGGAGCAAAAAGTCTTGTTGAGAGTGGTGATTCAAATAAAAAGTGAATTTCCTGAAACTGGCTCTATCCTTCACTAGGTGAAAGCAGCTCTATGGGCCCTCCAGGGAGGCACCTCTGTAGTGATTGCAAATGGAACCCACCCAAAGATCTCTGGTCATGTCATCACAGACATTGTGGAAGGGAAAAAAGTTGGAACTTTTTTTTCAGAGGTAAAACCTGCAGGTGAGTACAGAGGTAATGTGTACATTGAGACTTGCAGAGATTTTGTGAAAGGTTAGACTTACAGTTTGGCTAGACCTGTACAATAACTGGGAAGCCACACTCTGTTTGTAAAATGGATTTTGAAAGGTATTTTCTAAAGTAGGAATAGAAAATTTTGGATTCTCTGCTGTGGTTCCCTCCAGCTGATAAACTGCAATGAGTAGAGTTGTTGCCATTTTTAGTTTTAGAGGTTGTCATCTAACATTGAAGATTTCAGTGTGAAAATGTGGACATAGAATGAGCAGCTGAACTAAGATAGTGTTTACTTCTATTTAACATAAGTTCCTTTTACAACTCAGTCTTCTGGTATGGTAGGTAGAAATATTTTCTGGCCACTACGCTGCTGGCACAGCTCAGCAGTCACTGGAGAATCACTTTAACAATCACTGGAGAAAATCAGACCAAAGATGTGTCCTTAGCTGAATAGGACAAGTACAGAGTGACACATTTGACTTGAGCTTTAAGCCAAGCAAATTTCTTTGTCTATAATAATCCTCAATTGATTTCTTGTATGAATTTGTTGGATCATCCTTTGAACCCATGTAAAGACTTTGCATACACAGTGTCACAATAGTCAAGAACCTTAACTAGATACTGTGTGTAAACTCTGCACCTAGAATTATGTGAAGACTGCTTGCTTTAAATAATGTTTGGGTTGGTGGAGAAGGCTTTGAATTTTCGTCCTGATAGCTTCATTGAATGCCCCTACTGCCTGTACGGGTGATCAGCCCCTGTTCAACTTCATAGGTGTGAGACATAGTCTTTCCACTCATCATCTCTCTTCCATGTGAAAGAGGTTTGGTCTTAGACATTTTGTACTGACACTGTTCCAAAAACTTGGTCATCCCTGTTTCTCTTGTTTGAAACTGTTTTCATTCTGTTGTGATCTTTTTGAGATGGGCAAAAATCAAGATTTCAAGATGCAAATGAAGCTTTAATTTATCTGATGGCAGGACCTAGCTGAGTTTTAGTAAGATTGATATTTTTTGTTCTTTAATTGCCCTAATAATTCCAAACATTTAATTTGCTTTTTGATGTTGATGTTCACCAAGATGATGTTTTCATAGTAATTCATATTATTTGTGACAGTATTAAGGTCTGATTATTCCATTTCCCCTCTACATTGCTTCATGTTTATTTAGTGTGAATTACACTTGGCCTTTTGTGGCTTAGTAATTTGGCTGCAGAAGAAATCACGGAAAGACGTGGGGGCATTGGGTGAGAAGCTCCCAATGACCTGGCTTCAGCGTGCACTTGAGCCTAGAACCGCCCCAGTGTGCTGGGCTGCCCCCCCAGAGTGTGAGCAGCAGCTCAGGGAGGGGATCCTGCAGCCGTGATCCAGCTCTGGAGCAGCAGCACAAGAGGGACGTGGAGCTGTTGGAGCAAGGCCAGAGGAGGCCACGGAGATGCTGCAAGGGCTGGAGCAGCTCTGCTCTGGAGCCAGGCTGAGAGAGCTGGGCTGGGTCAGTCTGGAGAAGAGAAGGCTCCTGAAGGGGAGACCTTAGAGCAGCTCCAGTGCCTAAAGGGGCTGCAGGAAACGTGGAGAGGGGCTTTGAGCAAGGACCTGTAGGGACAGGCCAAGGGGAATGGCTTTAACCTGCCCGAGGGGAGACTAAGATGAGCTCTTAGGCAGAAGCTCTTCCCTGTGAGGGTGCCGAGGCGCTGGCACAGGGTGCCCAGAGAAGCTGTGGCTGCCTCATCCCTGGCAGTGTTCAAGGCCAGGTTGGACGCAGGGGCTTAGAGCAAGCTGCTCTAGTGGAAGGTGTCCCTGCCCATGGCAGGGGTTGAGACTGGGTGAGCTTTAAGGTCCCTTCTAGCCAAAACCATTCTGTGGTAATTAATGAATGGCCAAGGTTGGAAGAGAGAATATGACAGATGACAGGGTCATCTGGTCCTACCCCTTATCAAGCAGGTTGCCCAGGACTGTGTACAGGTAGCTTTTAAATATCTCCTAGAATTGGGACTCCACAGCCTCCCTGGGCAACCTGTGCCAGGGCTTGGTCATCCTTGCAGTTTCTGATGAGAGGCACCTCCCGTGCTTCAGTTTGTGTCATTGTCTCTTCTCCTGTTGCTGAGCATCACTGAAAAGAGCCTGTCTTCATCTTCTTCACAGCCTTCCCTTAGGTACATACTGATGAGATCCCCCTAAACCCTCTTCTCCAGGCTAAGTAGTTCCAGCTCTCTCAGCCTTTCCTTGTACAAGAGGTGCTCCCATCCCTTCATCATCTTTGCTGCACTTCATTAGACTCTCCCCCTAGTGTTCATGTCTCTTTTGTACTGGGGAGCCCAGAACTGGGCAATTTTAGGGGAGTTTAAATTCACACTTTGGTTTATCCATGAGCTGCTTGCAGACTCTTTGGGGAAGTGCTGCTTGAACCTGGTGACCTGTTCAGAAATAGGAACAACTGACCTGTTCTGTATCATTTCAGTTTGAGAGGGATCGTTTCAGATCCTGCCAGGAAAAAAAAAAAAAAAGAGAAACCCCACCCTTCTTCTGCAGGAGCTCTTCTGAAATGTGTCCAAAGAGAGACAGGGGAAAGCAAATTTTCTGTGAACTGTTAACTCAGGTTGGGGTTTGGCTTCCATAATTGTTTATACATTCCTATGCTATTTTATAATCCTTTCTGTTTTCCTCATTTGAATACTTAAACTTTTCAAAGTTTGCCTCTTCTTTCAGTAGCCTGAGACTTAGCAATCCTGGTTCTTTTCCCCTTTGTCAAGTCTTTTTGATGCAAGGTGCACCCTTGCCTCTGATGCAGTGACCTTACAGAATCTCTGTCATGACTCTCTGCCTTGGGGGACCACAGTAGTATTGTATCAGGTACAGATTTTCCTGTTCTAGTGTACATCAGTTTTCTTGAGTATGTCAGTTTCAGACTCTGTACCTTCTTTCCTGCAGAAAAAAAAGTGGAAAATGGAGGGGCTAGTGTTTACTTTCATATGTGCTGTTACTTTGTATATCATTTTTTTTTGTTTTTTTGCAGGTCCTACAGTAGAGCAGCAGGGTGAAATGGCTCGAACTGGTGGCAGGACCCTGGCCGCTCTACAGCCTGAGCAGGTGACAGAACAATATGGCCTCACTTGTTAAGGTTGTGAATGTATGGCAAGTTTTACAACATCGATTTATAACACAGATGGTCCACTTAGGACAAGAATCAATTCTTTGTGTGTCAGATCTATCATTTGGATTGGAGTGTGCTTAAAGAGATGAGAAAAACATAATGTACCTTGGGGCTATGAAGTAATATATGCTTTCATGTGGGTTTTTTAAAATGATAATAGTGTTGAATATCACACAGAAATTAATTGTGCTCATTGCTGCTGAAGAATTGTCTGGAAAAACTTGCTCCATTCAATCCTGTGGGTAGTGTATGCAAAAGAGGAGATGCAGACAACCAATGACTGCTCTGCAGCTGGGTAGAATAGTTGCAGCTGTTGCAAAGAAGAGAAGGTGGTCTTAAAGAAAGAACATTCTGGGTTTGGGGAAGAAGACTGGGCATGAAAAGCAAGATAATAAACAGCAAAGCAAAGGCCGAAGCAGTGTTCAGCCTCATTTTTTCAATGTGATGCAGGCCCCAAGTATTCAGGGAGTCAAGACACTGAGAGGTGGTCAACATAAATGGACTGAAGGTGACCAGATGTCAACTAACGTGGACTTTGTATAAGAAGTCAGTTCAGAAACTGTTTTCTCTTTCAGAGAGCAGAAATTATTTATCGTCTTGCTGACTTACTGACTGACCAGAGAGAAGAAATTCTCTTGGCAAACAAAAAGGACTTAGAAGAGGCTGAAAATAAAGGTAATATTTCAAGTCCTTCCATGGTAATCCTATTGTCTCGAGCCTCTTGGGGCTTCAAAGGAAATGAGCAGAACTAGCATCTTCCGTCTCCTGGGATTGAGCGGTATGACTGTCACAGAGTCGTGAACCCAGGACCTTGAGACTTTCTCAGTGTAGACAGCTACAGCTTCCTTAATTACTTAAAACAGATGCCTTCATCAGGGAAGATCCCGAGGCCTTGCAAAACATAAAGCAGTGTATTGTAATAAATAAATAAATAAATAAAAAATCAGTGCTCCATTTTGCCAAAGGAGGCTTGCTTAAAAATTAAATATGACAAACATCACCTCTGATACTTTCATGCATAAAGTGAATATTTTCTGGGCTGCTTAAAATTATTTTTGGCTCCTGAAGAGAAAGCTATTGTCTCTATACTTAAATTGCTGGTATCAAAAAAACATCATGCCCCCTTCTGACTGAGGAAGGTTCCCTTTAGGTAGCTTGGATTAAGCCCATTCTTCTGTGTTTCACTGATAACATTCAGTCAGAAATTGGGATTGGGATAGCAAATGTATGAAAATGACATATCATGAATTGCAGTACTTTGTGGAAGAAGCCATGGAACCATTTTTTGTTTGGTTGGTTTTGTTACTGACCGGAGCACTTGAGGGGACGCAGCTGGGTTAACTTATTGTCTGAACATGTTCAGACTAGAAAATGCAGGCAGTTGTTGAGCAGTCTGTACAGAAATGCTATGCATGCGTCTGTGCTTTGAGATTTCTAGCTGTAATATAGAAAGATGAAATTACTGCCCAAACCTTCCAGAACTACTGCCAGGTATAAATTTGTAAGAAATTCAGACATATAGCAGTACTAGAAATTAAAAAAAAACTTATCTTTGTGGATGTTGATGTTGCTTCATGTACACATCACTTAAACCGCATTAAGTGAAAATGTGGTGATGGGTGAAATCATTGTCACGTTTGAGCGGTTTTATTGTGGCGACTGGACTTAATGCTGTGCATTTTTCATCTCAGGTGGGTTTCTTGCTAGGGTGTAGGAAATAACTGAATTTTCCTTAGGTTTACCACTTGCGTAAGTTGCTTTTGCTTGAGCCAAGGCAGACCAATCTATAGAATCATAGAATTGTTTAGGTTGGAAAAGACCTTTAAGATCATGAAGTCCAACCATAAATCTGCTACTGCCATATCTACCACTAAACCATGTGCCACATCTGTATGACTTCTAATCCGTCTAGGGACGGTGACTCCACCACTGCCCTGGACAGCGTGCTCCAATGCATGACAGCCCTTTCGGTGAAGGCAGTTTTCCCAATATTCAGTCTAAACCTCCCCGGCTTAACTTGAGGCTATTTCCTCTTGTCCTTTTCCTTGTTACTTGGGAGACTGACCCCACCTCACTACAACCTCCTGTCAGACAGTTGTAGGGAGCGATCAGATCCCCCCGAGCCTTCTCTTCCCCACATGGAACCCCCCCAGGTCCCTCAGCCATTCCCCATCACACTTGTGCTCCAGGCCCTGCACCAGCTCCATTGCCCTTCTCTGGTCCCGCTCCAGCACCTCAATGTCTCTCTTGTAGCAAGGGCCCCCCTGTCTCCAGCACAATTTTTCCTTGCTTTTAGGGAGATTGGCCCTTCCATTGTTGAAACGTCTGAGTCTGTCTACATCGAAGCTGAACAGCTTGGCTATTGGTCTGCGTCAGATTGCGGCATCCTCACAGGACAGCGTTGGCCGTGTAATTCGCCGAACACGAATAGCAAAAGACCTGAATTTGGAGCAGGTGACAGTGCCTATTGGCGTCCTTCTTGTGATCTTTGAGTCCCGACCTGACTGCCTTCCACAGGTAAGGAAGGCATATTTACACTGTTACGAATTCTTTGAAGCCAAAATAAAGGGTGGGCAACTGGGAGGCTGTGAGAAGTACTGGGAGGATTCTTGTGTAGATTATTCTAAAATTGGTTTTGTTGGCGTCCCTGTGTTTCCTGCAGCAATACTGTTAGGACTTCCTTCTGCGGAGATATTCAGGCCTGGGTTGTTTTGGCTGTGGGGGTTTTGTTTATTTGTTTTTTTGTTTTGTTAATTTGTTTTGCATTTTGGGGTTTCTTTTTGGTGTGTTTTTGTTGGGTTTGGGTTTTTGTTTTTTTTTTTTTGTTTGTTTTTAATAAACCCAGCATAAGAGTGATCTTATTTTCAGATGATGAAAGTTCTGCATTTGTCTAAAAAATTTATGTTCAGTGCCTAACTGATACGTGGGAGGCTCCTACCAATGAGCACTTGTTTTATCTGTCTATGCTGCGTACAGCTGAGCTGCAGGCTAGGATTAAACAGGAACTGTGAAATACAGATGCTAGCAATTAACTGTAACTCTTAGGAATACATGGTTAAAAAAATAAACCAATAAAAAATTGCTGAGCACAGAAAGCACAGAAGTTGCAGGCTTTGAGAGGTCTGTCCTGTACTGACACTGCTTGTGTGAGGCAGAATGATAACTGTTACTCAGTTGCTGTGAGATGGGTTTGAGGAAGAATGCTGTTCTGAGTTCTTGGGTACTGACATTTCTGGAAGGGCTGGTGAAATCTTGACTGGTGTACTGTAAGTGAATGTCATTTATATTGTGCTGGGAATAAGGCAGGCATTTTAAAAATCAAATACCTTCATCTGCAGCACTGTGTGGGACTGTTGCTGTCAGTAAATGCTGTTATAATGCATGTAAATATGGGGACTGAACTAATATTACAGAGGCAACCTTAATCTTATTTTCTAACTCCCAACTACTATACTGAGCAGCTGTAGTAGATTTTTAATAAGTAAACAAAAAAAACTTCACAGTTAACACAAGCTGTTTCCCACATTAACATTAGTGTCTAGGAAGATGGATTAAAGGGTTCTCTAACATGAGCGGGTGTTTGAGGGGAAAGTGATGGTTACAGACACTTTAGAAGGAAGAGGGATTCAACCAGTGGACAGTGTGGTACTTCATGGCTAAATTTTGTGAGTGCTTCCCATTTCACATATTGAAAGGGAGTATGCTCTAGGCAAAGTTCCTGTGAAATGACAAGGCACTAATCTCCCATGTCTACCATTATTAGCAGCCTCACGCTTGCAGGCCCTTGTCCTTGTAGGGGACTTCAACCACCCTGATATCTCGGGGGGGCCCAACACAAGCAATCCAGGAGGTTCCTCGATTGTGTGGAAGACAACTTCCTTCTGCAAGTAATAGAGGAGCCAACTAGGAGAGGGGCCGTGCTTGACCTCGTGCTCACCAACAGGGAAGGGCTGGTGGGGAACATGATGCTCTAAGGCAGCCTTGGCTGCAGCAATCATGAGATGATGGAGTTTGAGGTCCTCAGGGCAGTGAGAAGGGCACGCAGCAAGCTCACTGCCCTGCACTTCAAGAGAGCAGACTTGGGCCTCTTCAGGACCCTGCTCAGTAAGGTTCCATGGCATAAAGCCCTAGAGGGTAGGGGGGCCCAAGACTGTTGGTTGATATTGAAGGATCACCTGCTTCAAGCTCAGAAGTGTTGTGTGCTGACAAGAAGGAAATGGGGCAAGAAGGCCAGGAGGCCTCCATGGATGCATAAGGAAGTGCTGAGAAAACTTAGAAGAGGAAATGAAGCTTATACAAGGTGGGAGCAAGGACAGGCAGCCCAGGAAGGATACAGGGATGTTGTCCAGGAAGCAAGGGCTCAGGTCAGGAAGGGTAAGGGCCAGTTAGAATTGAGACTGCGCAGGGATGATAAAGGTAACAGGAAGGGCATCTGTAGGTATGTAGCCACCAAAACAAAGCCTGCGGGTAATGTGGGCCCTCTCTGGAAGCAAACAGGAGAACTGGCTACCCTGGATTTGGAGAAGGCTGAGGTTTGCAGTGACTTCCTTGCATCAGTCTTCACTGGTAAAGGCTCTGACCACACCACCCAAGCCTTGGAAGACAAATGCAGGGACTGTGAGAATGAAGACCTTGGGCCCACTGTAGGAGAGGATCTGGTTCGAGACCATCTTAAAAACCTGAAAGTGCACAAGTCCATGGGACCTGATGAGATCCATCCACGGGTCCTGAAGGAGCTGGTGATTGAAGTTGCTAAGCCACTGGCCATCATATTTGAAAAATCATGGCAGTCAGGTGAAGTTCCCGATGACTGGGAAAAGTGAAATATAACCCCCATTTTCAAGAAGCGGAAAATGGATGACCCAGAGAACTACAGGCCAGTCAGTCTCACCTCTGTGCCTGGCAGGATCATGGAGCAGATTCTCCTGGCAGGCATGCTAAGGCACACGAAAATCAACAAGGTGCTTGGTGACAGCCAGCGTGGCTTCACTAAGGGGAAATCCTGCCTGACCAATTTGGTGGCCTTCTATGATGGCGCTGCAGAACTGATGGACAGGGGTAGAGCAGTTGATGTCATCTACCTGGACTTGTGCAAAGCATTCGACACCATCTCACACAACATCACAACATCCTTGTCTCTAAACTGGAGAGACATCAGTGTGATGGATAGACTGCTCGGTGGTTAAAGAATTGGCTGGATGGCTGCACACATTGGTTCTGGAGAGGAGATGACTGTTTTATGAAGGAGTGTAATTTTTTTTTTTTTTTTTGCTTCCCTCCCCCTTCTCCCAAAGAGATGGACAAATTGTGAGGCCATTGTGTATAGGATCGGGGTGAGAAAGACAAAAAGGGATACAAAAATGACAAAAGTCTGGGAATAGAGCCTTGTTGTGTCTGACACACTCTTCTGTAGAAAAGAACAAAAAACTGAAACAGTAAGACCTACCATCACTTGTTTTTCAGTTTTGTGGGGAAAACACCAATAAGAACTAGTGTCTGGAGATTCAACAAATTGGTTATATATTTTCAACAGCAGAAGTAATTTTTTATCTAACTTCCAAAAAGCAGTGGCATTTTCAAAGCACTTTTTGAAATATGGTCTGCTCATGTTGCTGGTCTCAAATGGGTGAAATCTGGCACCTTAAACGGAAAGGCAACAGCATCAGTCAGTTGCTTCTGATTCGGAACGTGAAAGCAAAACTATATAGGTGATGCTGGGCCTATTGTCTACAATGTTTTTTCCTCATACTTGCAGCAAGTGTTGTCTGATTGTGACTTCTGTTTAGACAGCACGATAAAAATGTTCTTCCTGCTTATAGAAGAGCTCTTTAGCCGTTTTCTGAGAGAATAACTGGGGACAGAGGTTCTTGCACCTAAAATTATTCTCCTTGGGGTGATTGCCCATATAGCTACCTAATTCATACTGGAGTCTACATCCAGGGTTTTCTCTGACTTCTCCGCTGCAGTCTGCCCCGGCAATAGTACCCTGAAAACTCAGGCTTGGTCCTGAGACACTTACCACATTTCATTTCTGGAGTTAAATGTGCTGTTATTTGTAATGATTTTCTTTTTTTTTGGTGTGTGGTAGAATGAAAACTGTAAATTCACATTGAGTAAATCAACAGGGCTAAAAATCCTGTTCTTATTTTGTGGGTGTTATTCTGATAGAAGAGACAGATTACTCTGTTTCTGCACACACCCCCCATCGAATAAATTCTTTTCTGATAGGTGTCTGCTTTGGCCATAGCCAGTGGAAATGGCCTACTTCTTAAAGGAGGGAAGGAGGCAGCACATAGCAATCAAATCCTTCATCATCTGACGCAAGAAGCACTCTCCATTCATGGAGTCAAAGATGCAGTGCAACTAGTAAGAGCCTAGAATTAAATCAGTGATTTCTTTGATGTGGTATGTATAAAAAGTATGGGCAGAACTTGAGTGTTCAAACTGTCGATTGTTTGTATTCAACTACTACAGGTGAACACAAGAGAAGAAGTAGAAGATCTCTGTCGTTTGGATAAGCTGATAGACCTAATCATTCCACGTGGTTCATCACAGCTAGTCAGAAATATCCAGAAAGCTGCTAAGGGAATCCCAGTGATGGGACACAGTGAAGGGATCTGTCATGTGTATGTGGACACAGATGCCAGCGTTGAGAAGGTTACACGAATAAGTAAGCTGGGAGAGTGTGACTTAAATCACATGGATGTAATTGAACTTGATATCTTGAGTATGCAATATGGTGATGGTAATTGATAATTCATACGCTGTTCAAAATTTTTGTTGTAAATGCTATGTAACCAATTATCTACTCTTATACCTCAGTCAGAGACTCAAAGTGTGAATATCCTGCTGCCTGTAATGCTTTGGAAACTCTCTTAATTCATCGAGACTTGCTGAGAACCCCGTTGTTCGATCAAATCATAGACATGTTGAGAGTAGAACAGGTTAGTCACTCATACTTGTGTTTTGTTCTGTTGCCTTTTTTTTTTCCTAGCACTTTAGAAACATTTGGTCTGGCTAGTGTAGCCATATTTAGTTTTATGATGGCGTAACACTTAAGTTATCTGCATGTCTCTTCATACATGTAAATGAACTTACAGAAGAACTTTCTCTAATTCTCCACACAACCTCAAGGCTTTTTGTAAAAATGACCTGAAAGCAGCTTCTTCAGGACAGCTATGTGCCATTATTGGGATACAAATACTTCCTTTTATATAGCACAAATCATCAGACTTAGAAAAGCATACACACAACCCTTTCTCTACCCTTCTTAATTATGATTTAATTGCTGTTAACCTCCCAGATGCAAGGCCTCTTCTCCATTAATTTAGTGAATTCACTTTCTGTTTTTCTCCTTTATGAATATGCTTCAGCCCCATTTTTTAAACTTTTCATCTTGCCTGCCCATTATCCCCACCCTCCTAGTATGTCAAAGAAACAGTGAAAGGCCAGCATACTAATTAGTTGTCTTGACATGGGTAATGTTTTCTCAGTACAGGTAGCAGAGATGCACTGGGAGAGAAATATCCATGAAGTAGCATGAACTGCACATAAATCAAGGATTTTCACACAGCAGTGTGTGTTTGGCAAATACAGGCAGTGATTAATGCAGTTAAATTAGGGAGGCCATATGTCCTGGTGATATTGAAAGGGTCACAGTAGAAGAAGCTGATAGATAATCAGGAGCAAGTCCACACTTAATGGATTTATTTTTGTTTTTTTTTTAAATGTCATTTGGTTGCTTATTGGGAAGGGCAGAGTGAAAGGTGGGTCTCCAGACTTTGGATGGTGGGAGTGTGAGGACTAGTACATTTCCACCACTACCCATGTAGCTCCTAATACAGTGGGGAGGATGTTACCTCTGTCTGATATGACCTGACAACAAGAAACATGCAAATACAGAATCCCAGCCTGGTTTGGATTGGAAAGGACCTTAAGACCATCTAGTTCCAACATCCTGCCATGGGCAGGGATGCCTCACACTAGACCATGTTGCCCAAGGCTCTATCCAGCCTAGCCTTGAACACTGCCAGGGATGGAGCATTTACCACTTCTTTGGGCAAACTGTGCCAGTGCCTCACCACCCTCACAGTAAAGAACTTCTTCTTATGTCTAACCTGAACTTCCCCTGTTTTAGTTTAAACCCATCACCCCTTGTTCTGTCGCCACAGTCCCTGATGAAGAGGCCCTCTCCAGCATTCTTGCAGGCCTCCTTCAGATTGAGCAGGATTTTGCAAGTAAAGTAATTTACAGTTGCACAAGAAAATGCCATTCTATGGATACCTTCTTAAAAGCCTTCAAGTTTTGCAGACTTGTGCCGTATTTCCCATTTATGCTTGTCTTGTCAAAATTTCCTGTGTTTTGTTTGCATGGGGATTTCTCTGCTGTATCGATTGTATATTGTCTCTCATTGTTTAGGTGTCTCAACTCTGTGATTGTGGGTTGAAAGATAGATAGTTTGATATGCAAAAGAAAGAGGAAGAAGAAAGGGGAAGGAGGAGGGAAGGAGAGGCAGCAATGGACAACCAACCCCCAAAAGCCCATACAAGTGAGGCAAAGCTAATTACTCACCATCTGCCACATGCAGACCAAATCCCAGCCAGTCTCTGAGCAGCACCTATCTTCTTCAAAAAACCCTTCCCTCAGTTTGTATTGCCGTGCATGATTTTATATGGCATGTAACATCCCTTTAGTGAGTTCAGGTCAGCTGTGGTGGTTCTGTCCCCTCCCAACTTCCTGCGCAATCCCAACCTTTTTGCCTGGGGAACAGTGTGGTGGGGGTTAGGGATGAGAAAGCCTTGATGCTGTGCAAGCTGTGTTCAGCAACAACCAAAAATATTAGTTTGTTTTCAAAACCGTTTTAGTCCCAAGTGCAAAACATAGCACCATAGGGCTGCTGAGAAGAAAATTCACTCTGTCCCACACAGAGTACCAGAAGCCACACTTTCACCTGGAACACACTGGTATGGTCAGCAGCCCAAAATGTTTCTGTTATTGTAGGTGAAGATTCACGCTGGCCCAAAGTTTGCATCTTACTTGACGTTCAGCCCTTCAGAAGTGAAATCTCTCCGCACAGAATATGGGGACCTGGAGTGCTGCATTGAGGTGGTGGACAGTGTCCAAGAGGCTGTTGAACACATCCACAAGTATGGAAGTTCTCACACAGATGTTATCATTACAGAGAATGGTTAGTGATCAGTCTGCTTCCTTAAGCTACTGTTTTAGTTTGCCAATTCTTGGTGTTAGTGTAGCCACTTAAATTGCAATAGTTGTTCTTCTCGGGTCTGTAGTCGGCATAACCAACTGGAGGCCTATGAATTAAATGTGCCTACAGTCCTGTTTAGCTCACAGAAAACATGTTGTTTGACCCTTATTCACCATTTTAAGGAATATGCTTGAGTGAATGGCCAATGGCAAGTCAGCACACGCTCTTGCAGGCAAATTGCTTTCTGTTCCTGTATCATGCAGACTTACTGCATCAGAAGGTTTTGCAGGAACATCTCCTGTATCCTGAAGATGTCCTTAGGCCTCTAAAGGCTGCTGGGAATAAGGATTATAGGGAAGATGAGACTTTATCCACTTTGTCTTCCTATGTCATTTTTATGCCTTGTAAACAAGGACCGCAGATGTTTTCTCCCTACCTCTTCCAGTCCTTTACTTCCCACTTCTGCATCCCTAGTACAAAAGCTGCATTGATCTCAGTTTGCAGATTCTTGCCTCTTAGTTGTGAACCTGTGCTCCTTTTTTTGCAGCTCTGTGCTGCTCCCATCCCTAGCACCTGCCCCACATGCAGTTTGAACATTGTGCCAGTTCAAAACGTAGCTAGGGCTGCAGCCAAAGGTTGATTCTCCAACCAGACCAAGCCTGGAACTCCTGAGGATCAGCTGCAGTTAAGTTCATGTTGGTCTGTGGCTGGGCAGATGTGTGAATCAAGCAGACTTCTGTTTCTGTACCTCTTGCTGAGTTTAAATGAGCGTCACTAAAAGGTATGCATTTGATACCATAACCTACTGCCATGGGGCCTGTGCACTAGTGATTTGCTAGGGAGTGTACCGGAAATATAGCTGATCTTTAATATAGCTTAATATAAACTTAATGTCACAAAGATCTGTGGTCATACTAAGTTTATAAGTTGTCCTTGTCACTAAGGATGACTGACCTGCAGCTCTCAGTCTTACAGAGAACGGAGTCCTCCAGAGGACTAAGACTTGTATAATTCTGCTTGAGCTTGCTCAGGTCTTGCATGTTCTGTGTTAAACAGATTTAGTTAGCTGATTTCATGGGGTATTTCTGCAGTTGGGTATTTCCCAAGTATTACCTGCAATAGCAGTTAAGCTTAGGATTTTTTATTATCTGGAACAATTCCATGTCTGAGATTTAATGGAGAGCTGACTCTGTAGTTTAACTGTCTCAGTTTGACTGGAAAATACTGTTTGAGGCAGTTGTCCTTTCTCCCCAGTCACGTAACTATCCCTGTTTGCAGGTTCTGGGCAAGACGTGGTTAGAATTGGAGTGCTTTTGCTTTCTTCTAATCTTTGCAAGCTTCTTGTAACATTTGCAGCTGTGTCTACTTGATAAGCATATTGTGAAGATGGTATAAATAAACATGTCTTAGCCCAGGCTGCTTAAATACTGTCTGATAAGTCTCCATGTGAAAGTTGTATTGTTACCTGTTCACTGTACTATGTTGTATTTACTAGAGGGCATGATTATTCTCTGTGTACTGGATTGTATTTTCTCTGCCTCTTCCCCAGAGGAAACAGCAGAGTTCTTCCTCCAGCATGTGGACAGCGCATGTGTTTTCTGGAATGCCAGCACCCGATTCTCTGATGGCTATAGATTTGGACTTGGTAAGGGAGAAAATACTGCAGGGATGTGACTGCAGGATTTGCTGTTGTATGAAAAGTGTAGCAGTCTGAATCCTGGAAGGCAGAATTAGTCTCCGATCTTATTGTCTAATACAAGGTTTTCAGGAAAGGTACCATAGGAAAAGTTGAAGCCTAGACATTTCATCCATCTGGAATGACAGAGTTTAGTACCTCTTTCCTGTCAGCACCAGCTAATACTGCTACACAGACTATAGATTAATTTAGCATAGGAAGCAAAGATGGTTTGGATCCTTTGAAGTTCTATCCAATCAGAACAAAGTATGCTGTAGGCACATAATGCTAGAACAATGCAACACAGGATCTGAAACTAGTGAGTAGTTTTTCTTTTGCTTATCTTTCCAATGATGCTGTAAGGAATGCCATACTTCATTCCTGCTGGGCTGACTGAGCTGCTGTCCAGTGTGCCAGTGGTGCAGTGTTGAAAATGAAAGACGGGACCAAACAGAGTATCTGTTGCTTAAATAAAGAGGTGCACCTACCTTGATTGCAGAATACAAGGGAAACATTCCTTCCTGAGGCAGAAACTCGGGAATCTCCATAGCAGGCTATTACTGTGTCAGCTGGAACATTTAGTGTTCTATTGGATTAAAAAAATTCTAGCTAGGGTCTTGCAGTACCTCCTCAACATGATTACAAAGGACAGAAGATGAGATTACAATTGTGACTAATGTAGTGTTTGAAAATTAAAAAAAAAAAAAAAGAGATTAAACCCTCAGGAAATAAGATCCATATGAGAGGTACCTTTTCTTTCACATCTTTCTCTCTAAAAGTAACACTGTAGCAGCCAGAAGTACAAACATTATAAGTTATAATGTAATAGTTAAGCTCCTCTTAACTTTTAAATCAGGTAAACATCTGGCATTTTGAGGGGAGCAGAGAAAAGCAGGTCACTGAGAGGCAGCTGGTTTTACATAAAGGTGCAAAACTTGTAAGTATGAAGTGAACATCTGAAGATTAACTGTCTTTTATCTTGTGTGTTTCCTGCAGGTGCTGAAGTGGGAATTAGTACTTCTCGTATCCATGCACGTGGACCAGTGGGAATTGAAGGACTCTTAACTACAAAGTGGTTGCTGAGGGGGGACAATCACGTTGTTTCTGACTTCTCGGAGCATGGGAGCATGAAGTATCTTCATGAGAGCCTGCCTCTCCCTCAGAGAAATACCAACTGAGAACATGAGGGCAGCGGGAAGCCCCAGGGCTATAAATAGTTCCTGGAGATGTTCAGACTTCAGGGCACTCTGGAGATGGAGTTTAGTTTTCATCCTCAGGAACATTGTTCTCAGTCACTCCACAGTACAACAAATACCAAATTATCCTATCTGTGAGATTATTTTTTTATTTCTGACTCTGTTTCTTAGTGTTTGCAAACTGACCTGACTTCTCCCAGAGATAGAATTCTTCAAAACACAGGTAACTAAGGGAAGATTTAAATACCTGCTGCGTTCTTTTTGTATCCTGTTACTCATAGCAAATATGCTTAGTGGCAGAGCATCAGTTTTTTCTAAGTCTTTGTGCTGTTCAGCTGCTGTCTGTTCTGAGAACAAGGCAGATAGCTGCTGGAGTTCTGTTTGGTTGGTTTTTGTTTTGTTTTGTTTTTCTCCCTTCTGCCTTATGGTCAAGGCAGCTCTTGAAAGCCAGAAAGCTTTACACTTTCATTCTTTGTATTTGATTACTCTTGTGATAAGAGCATAGGTGTTTCAAATGCATAAGCTTTTGACCAAGAAACCTTTTATATCTCATTTCTTTGTATTGATTACTATTGTAGATAAATAACGCAACTGTCTCCCATGTGAACTTTTATATGAAACTAAAGAAAAATAAACCTTCGGTACAAATAGGTATCAAACTTGCCCTCTGCACCCCCTCCCCCGAGAGCAGTGCTGCTTCCTCACTGTTCTGGCGTGCATAACGCCTGCAGGCACGCTTCTTACACCCCCCCGCCCCGTGCTGCAGCGAGGGTCGGACCGAGCCCCGGCGATGGAGGAACAGCTCCGCGCCCGTCCCGCACCGTAACCCTGCAGCGACGCCTCACTTCCGGTCAGCGCATGCCCTGACACCGGTGAAGCGAGCGGGGCGCTGCGGTAGCGGCGGGTGGTTCCCGGGCTCCGGAGGCGGCCCGCAGCGGGCGCTCAGGCCAGGAACGCGGTGAGCGGGGGGGGGGGGGGGGGGTGTGTGTGTGTCCCAGCCATGTCCTGCCGTGAGGGTCCTGGTGTCTCGGCGCTGGGGACGCGGGGAGCGGCGGGCAGGGCCTGTAGCAGGAGGGGCAGGGCCTGTAGCAGGACGGGCTTGCCGTGGACGCCGACCCGACATGGCTGGCCAGGCGAAAGGAAGTTTAAAGCTGAACGGCCGAGCAGATTTGAGAATGGTTGATCGAGGTACAATAACTGCAACCGTGAGAGAGTTACTGGAGAGCTGTTACTGGTAAAAACCGTCTCCCGACCGCCGGGTAGCTGGCGGCGCTCTAAGCAAGTAAAGCCTTCCCTGAGCCTGCGCCCAGGCGCTGCGGCCTGCGAGCCCTCTGCTCTCTACGGGCGCGCAGACAACCGCAGGACGCACATGCACTCAGCATCTCTCGGGGGTGGGACTCCCCTGCTGACCCTCTGAGGCAGCCCTCTTCCTTCCACCTTATATGCTTCTCCACCACCACTAAAACAGCCCTAAAAGTTCTGAAACCATCCATAAATCCTGTACAAAGCCCCCAGTACTCCTGTGATTCACTCAGCCCCAATGCCAAAATACTGCATACTCTGCACCAGCATTTTCACCTTCCAGTTTGCTCCTTCCATTGCTCTATTGCACTATTGTTCATCCTTCCCTTCTCCTTAAACTTCCACATTTCTCTGCGTATCCTTCTACCTCTTTCTACTGAAGTCCCTCTTTGCCCCTTTCCAGTCCCTCTTACCCTGCCCTACATCCTGCTGCTTCTGCCTCTTTCCTGTCCTAATCCAAGAGGCACATGTACAGTACCCAGCAGCAGCATGGCAGCACAGTGGCCTTTGGTGCTGCCAGCAGCATGAGTGGGTTGAAGCCACTGGAGGCAAGGGAGACCCTTTGGTGAGTGCTGTTTGGTCCCCAAAAGCTTTTCCCATTGGCCCAGGCCTCCCCCAGGTCCTGAGGTGGCAGAAGCACCAGCAGGAGGAGGGTCTCCAGCCAGGGGTGATCTATGGTAATAACAGTTGCTGCTTCTTTGCCTCTCCCGGGGCCACGCTGAGGGAACCAGGCGAGGCTAAGAGTGACTGACGGGAGCTCCAGCCAATGGCCGCTGGGGGGTGGGGTGAGAAAATAGACCGAAAACTAGGTTGCGCTAAGAGTGACTGACAGAAGCACTAGCCAATGGTCGCGGCGGGGGAGGGAAAATAGACCGGAAGCTAGGTGGGGCTAAGAATGACTGACGGGCACTTTAGCCAATGGCCTTTGTGGGGGGGCAGTGGGAATAAAAACCAGAAGCTAGGCGGGGCTAAGAGTGACTGACGGGCTCCCCAGCCAATGGCCGCTGCGGGGAGGCGGTGGGGAAGACAGACCGGAAGCTAGGCGGGGCTAAGAGTAACTGACGGGCCCTCTAGCCAATGGCCGCTAAGGGGGGGCGGTGGGAAAAGAGACAGAATGCTAGGCGGGGCTAAGAGTGACTGACGGGTGCTTTAGCCAATGGCCGCTGCGGCTGGGCGGTGGGAATAAAATCCGGAATCTAGGCGGGGCTAACAGTGATTGACAGGCGCTCCAGCCAATGGCCGCAGTGGGGGGGCGGTGGGGAAAAGAGACCGGAAGCTAGGCGGAGCTAAAAGTGACTGATGGGCGCAGCAGCCAATGGCCCGGGGGGGGCGGTGGGAATAAAAACCGAAAGGTAGGCGGGGGTAAGAGTGCCTGCCAGGCACTTTAGCCAATGGCCGCTGTAGGGGGGCGGTGGGAATAAAAACCGGAAGCTAGGTTGTGCTAAGAGTGACGAGCGCTTTAGCCAATGGCCGCTGCGGGGGGGGGGCGGTGGGAAGAGACCGGAAGCTAGGCGGGGCTAAGAGTGACTGACGGGCGCTCTAGCCAATGGTCGCTGCGGGGGGGCGGTGGGACTAAAAACCGGAAGCTAGGCGGGGCTAAGGGTGACTGACGGGCGCTCTAGCCAATGGTCGCTGCGGGGGGGCGGTGGGAATAAAAACCGGAAGCTAGGTGGGGCTAAGGGTGACTGACGGGCACTCCAGCCAATGGCCGCTGCGGGGAGCGGCGGGAAAAGAGACCGCAAGCTAGGCGGGGGTAAGAGTGACTGACGGGCGCTGCAGCCAATGGCCGCTGAGGGAGGGCAGTGGCCAAACGTAGGGGGAGGCAGGCGAGGCTACGAGTGTTTGACGGGAGTTAGAGCTAATTGCGGCCGCGGGAGGGGCGGTGACAAACCATACTGGGAGAGAGGCGTGGGTACGGGTGATTGTCGGGTGCTCAGCCAATAGCCGCCTGAAGGGGGGTTGATAAAACAGAGAGGAAGAGGGGCGGGGACTACGCGTGAGCGCGAGTGACAGGCCAATGGCGCCCGCGGGTTGCCTGACATCAGTTCTTGCCGCACTGCGGCTCCTGCCCTGCAGTACCGAGTTTCGGCCACACGATGGCAGCAGCCAGCGTTGCACTGAGCCACTCCTTTGCCGCCCGCATTTCCACCACCTGCAGTACCTACTTTGGGCACATGATGGCAGAAGCGAGCTATGTCCTGCGCCACGCCCTGCCTCCCCTCCCCACCCCGCAGTACCGAAGTTTGGACACGTGGTGGCAGCACACGCGGACTTTTCGGTACCAAAGTAACTTTTTTCTTTTAGGCGTCCCGTACCTAAAATGAGAAAAAATAGGCAAAAATGGGTTAGAAAAGGAAAAAAATGGTTTAAAACACGTTAGAAATGGCCAAAGAGTGAATAGAAATGGCCCAAAATGGATTAAAACAAGTAAGAAGTAGTAAAAACGGGTTAGAAATGGGCAAAAATGGCTTAAAACGAATTAGAAGTGGGCAAATACGGGACAGAAATGGCCATAAATTGTTCAGAAATAGCCAAAAAAAAAAGCTTCAAATGGGTTAGAAATGGGAAAGATGGGTTAGAAATATCCAAAAATGGCTTAAAACTGGTAAGAAATGGGCAAAAAATGGGATAGAAATGGCCATAAATTGTTTAGAAATAGACAAAAATGGCTTAAAATAGGTTAGAAATGGGGGAAATGGCTTAGAAACAGAAAAAAACCCGGCTTCAAATGGGTAAGAAATGGGCAAAAATGTGCTTGAAGTGCCAAAAGAGAAAATAAGAAAATGTAGGACTATAAAAAAAGGGAAGAGAATATAAAAGAGGGAAGAGACTCTAAGAGAGCAGAAGGGAAGGGAATATAAGAGAAAGGAATATATGAGGAGAGACTGCAAGAGAATCTAAGATAAGGGAAGAGAAAAGAGAAGGGAACAGATGAGAATATTAGAGAACATAAGGGAAGGGAAGAGACTAGAAGAGATTAAGAGAATATAGGACCAGAGAGTAAAGAGAAGGGAATATAAGAACATGCAAAGGGATAGAAGAGAAGGGAGTAGAAGAGAATAGAGATTAGAAAAGACTAAGAGAATATATGGAAAGAGAATATAAAAGAATCTGAGAAAACAGAACGGGAAGGGAAGAGACTGGAAGAAAATGGAAGAGACTAAGGGAATATAGGAGAAAAGAGTACAAGAGACAGGAAGGGAAGAGAGACAGACAGGAAGGGAAGAGACTGTAAGAGAGTATTAGGGAAGACAAGACAGAAGAAACGTGCTCCTGGCCTGGTAAAATCTTTATTTTTTCAGGACAACTATTTTGTTTTATTAAAAGCAGGAATCTTTAAATATACATAGTCTTGTCTATCACTGAGCTCTGAACCCCTGCAGCAGTCATCAAGCTGTGAGAGGCAGCTGCACAAAGGGAATCCTTTCTCTAAGGCAAGCAGCTGAGCAGTGACCACCTGTTACAGCCATCCATCGATGTCAGCTGTGCAGCCACATTAATGCCACCAACAGAGCAGATAAGCTCTGGCAGCAGGCACCGAACAGGAGGGGACGCTGCCCTGTGCACGGAAGGCAGAGGCATGTTCCCACCGTGCTTGCTGGGTGCACGCCAAGTAGCAATTACAGTTTTCCATTCACATCCCCGGTGGCCTTACCTCTTCCTCCCGTGCCACTTTGCCGTGCTCCACTGCAGCATCCAAGGATCTTGCCCCTGCACGGCTGGGCTCAGCAGCACGCTGCGTGCTGGGCAGCATGCATCACCTGCAGGGCTCTGTGATCACCAGGCTGCCGCAAAGGCAGCAGTAGAGAGGGGTCCCTCGGAAATGTGCTGTCTGCCTGCAGGCACCGCCCCGTCATGGCATCCTCTTGAGATCAGGGGCTAAATACACATCTCTGTCCCTGCGAGTGGGGCCCAGGGCTGCCGGGAAAGCCCATCTGTGGAGCAGGCTGTGTGTGTTCTGGTCTGTAAGCCCCCCATCAGCTATGGTACAGCTGAAGTCTTGTCACTGTCAAACGTTTACCAGGTAATACCCCTTAGCGAACTAGAAACCTGCACTAACACCACATGCCTGGCAGGCTAGGAAAGGTAGATACATTTGGGGTTATGCACAGGAAAGCTCTACATCCTGCTGTGGTTCAAGTGCCATTGTTCTTGTCGGTAAAGGGAAAAGCAGCCTCAGGCCTCCTGCTGGCTCCATCACCTGCACCAGAGGAGCTTTGCTTTCAAGATGCGATACTTGCTATGCTGGTAAGTGATCAGGTCAAACAGGCTGAAATAACAGTGAATATGCCCAGAGCTGGGTGTTACT